CAGATTTGCTTAGGATCTTGAGTTTGTAGATTTATGTCTTTTGTCAATTTGGGAATTTTTCCAGTCATTATCTATTTGAGTAATATTTCAGTACCACCCACTGTATTCTTTCTTTCTGATATTCTGATGCTATAATATTAGATCTTTTGATATAGTCGCATAGACTTTAAAGATTTATTCTTTTTTTTCTTTTCATTCTATTTTCTCTCAATTGTTCCAAATGACTTACTGTTGTTTTATCTTCCAGCTCACTGATTTTTCCCTCTGTCTCTTGAATTCTGCTGATGAACCCATCCACTGTGTTTTTTTCCTTCACATATATATAAAATAATATATATTTTAATTATAAATTTTACATTTGATTTTTCTTTACATATTCTATTTCTCTGATGAAATTTTCCATTTATTGGCTGAAGCTCTTGAATTTTTTTTGTTTCAGTTATATTGGAGTTGTCAAAGCATTTTCTATATTGAGTGCTTTAAAATCTTTATCAAATAGTTCTAACATTTCAATCATCTGACTGTTGATGTCTGTGATTGTCTTCTTTTCTTCAATTTGAGCTGTTCCTGGTTCTTGGTATGAGTCTAAATTATGAGATTCTGAATCTTATTTTTTACTTCCATAATTATGTATACACAAGCTGCTTTCTTTAGATATAATTCATATAGCATACAATTCATTCATTTAAAGTAAACAATTCAATGGTTTTTAGTATATACATAGATATGTGAAATCACCAGTGTAATCAATTTTATAACATTTTCATAACCTCCATACTCTTTAGAAAAGAAATTCCATACTCATTAGCTTTCATTCTTCTATCCTTTGTGCCTCAAGTCCTAAGTAATCACTTATATGCTTTTTCTCTCTGGGAACATTTCAAATAAATTAAATCATATAATATGTGGTCTTTTGAAATTGATGTATTTTACTTAGGATGATGTTTTTGAAGTTTATTCATGTTGTAGCACATATCAATACTTCTTTTTTAAATAACCAAATAATATACCATTGTATGATAGACCATATTTAGATTACCCATTCATCAGTTGATGGACATTTGGATTGTTTTCAAATTTTGGCTATTAAGAATACTACTGCTATAAATATTTATGTGCAAATTTTGTTTGGGCATAAATTTTTATCTTGGGTATATATCTGGGAGTGGAATTGCAGGGTCAATAGGAATATTTTGGCTTAATAGTTTTAATAACTGTTATACTGTCTTCCAAAGTTTTATACCATTTTACATTCCCATGAAAAATGTATGAGGGTTTCAGTTTACTCATGTCCTCAATAACACTTGTGATTGTATAAATTTGTTATTCTAGTCATTCTACTTGGTTGACCATCTCATTGATGTCATTGTGACTTTTATTTGCATTTCTCTTATGACAAATGACATCAAGCATCATTTCACATACTTATTAGCCATTGGGATATCTTCCTTGAAGAACAGTCTAGTCAGAGCCATTGTCCTTTTTTAAATTGGATTATTTTTCTTTTTATTATTGAATTCAAAGAATTCTTTATATAATCTAGATACAAGTTCCTTATCAGATATATAATTTATAAATATTTTACTTCCTTCTGTGGGTTATCTTTTTTACTTTTGTGCTAGTGTCTTTTGAAGCACAAGTTTTCACTTTTGGTGAAGCCCAACTTAACCTTTTTGTTGTTGCTTGTACTTTTAGTGTCAAATCTAAATCTGGCAAGTGCCAAATCTGAGATTGTGAAGACTTACCTCTGAGTTTTTTTCTAAGAATTTTATAGTTTTAGTTCTTACATTCAGGTCTTTGTTTCACTTTGAGTTAGTTTTTAGTATGTTATGAGGTAAAGGTCTAACTTTATTCTTTTGCATATGTTTTCCAGCACCATTTGTTGAAGAGACTATTTACTCCCCCCTTGAGTAGTTTTGACACCCTTATAAAAATTAATAGACTACAGACATATAGTTTTATATTTGGATTTTCAATTTTGTTCCATTGATCTATATGTCTATCCTTATGCCAGTGCCACACTGTCATGTTTACCACTGCTTTACAGTAAGTTTTGAAATCAGAAAATATGAGACTTTCTACTTTTTCTTTTGTTTTTAATTTTTTTGCTATTTTTTGGCTATTATTTGCAATTTTATATGGTCATGAGGATTGGCTTTTCAATTTTTGCAAAAAGTAAAAGTCACTGGAATTTGAAAGGGATTGACTTAATACTGTAGATGGTGTTAGGTAGTATTGACATTTAACAATATGAAGTCTTCATATTCATAAGTATGGATTGTCTTTCCATTAATTTAGGTATTTTTAAAATTTATTTCAGCAATGTTTTGTAATTATTAGTATAAATCTTTCACTTTCTTTGTTAAGTTTATGCCTATACATTTTATTATTTTGGATGCTGTTGTAAATGAAAGTTATTTCTTAATTTCTCTTTTTGATTGTTCATTACTGGTATATAGGATATATTGATTTGTATATTTTGATTTTGTACCCTGAAAACTTGTTTAATTCATTTCTTAGTTCTGGTAGTTCTTTTATGAATTATTTGAGATTTTCTATATAAAAAAATTATGGCATCTGTGAACAGAGATTTTGTTCTCTTCTTCTTTTCATTTGGATGCATTTTATCTATTTTTCTTGTTTAGTTGTCCTGTCTAGAATCTTCTATACAATACTGACTAGAAGTAATGAGATGGATATCATTGTCTTGCTTCTGACATTAGGGGACCATCCAGTCTTTTGCCACTAAGTATGTTGTTAGCTGTAGGTTTTTTATAGCTGCTTTGTATGAGATTGAGAACATTCTTTTTTCTTCCAGTTGATCGAATTTTTTTGTGAAAGGATTTTAGTATGTATCTAATACTTTTTTGTGTGTCTGTTGAAATGATCATGTGGTTTTTGTTTTTTATTCTATTGTTGTGATGTATTATATTAATTATTTCAGATGTTAAACCAATCTTGCATTACTGGGATAAATCTTACTTGGTTATGGTGTGTATATTATATATATATATACATATATAATATGTTGCTGGATTCAGTTTGCAAGTACTTTTTGAGAATTTTGTGTTCATATTTATAAGAGATATTAGTTTGTACTTTTATTGTCTGGTTTTTGTATCAGGGTATAACTAGTCTTGCAGAATGTATTAGGGAGAGTTTCATTCTCTTCTAATTTTTGAAAACATTTGTGAAGAATCAGCATTTGTTCTTCACTAAGTATCTAGAAAAATTCAGCAGTGAAGCCATGTGTGCTGGGCTGGGTTTTTCCTTGTAAGTAGTTTCATTTTCTTTTTTCTTTTCCCTTTCCTTTTTCTTCTTTCCTTCCTTCCTTCCTTCCTTCCTTCCTTCCTTCCTTCCTTCCTTCCTCTCTTTCTTTCCTTCTTTCTCTACCTCCCTTCTTCCCTCTCTCCCTCCCTTCCTTCCTTCTCCTTCGTTCCTTTTTTCTTTTTTTTACTAATTCATTTTTTAAAAACTTTTTACTTGTCTATTCAAATTGTTTATTTCCTTTTGAGTCAGTTTTGGTAATTTGAGTAATTTGTGTCTTTTTAGGAATTTGTTCATTTTATCTAAGTTACCTAATTTATTGCCACACAATTTTTCACAGTATTTCTTTATAATCTCCTTTTTAAAAAATTCTGTAAGTTCAGTAGAACTGTTCATTATTTCATTTATAATCTTAGTAATTTGAGTCTTCTTGCTTTTTTTTTTTTTCTTAATCTAGCTGAAGGTTTCCAATTTTGTTGATCTTTTCAAAGCACCAGATTTTGGCTTCTTAATTTTATCTATTGCTTTTCTATTCTATAGCTCATTACTTTCTCCTGTAATATTTAACATTTACTTCTTTCTCCTTGCTCTAAGTTTAATTTTTTCTCTAGTGTCTTAAGGTGGAAAGTTCAGTCATTAATTTAAGATATTTTCTTTTTTCTTAATATGAGAATATATAACTATAAACTTTAATCCATGCTTTGCTTTAGTTATGTCCTATATGTTTTGGAATGTTTGGTCTTCATTTTTATTTATCTCAATGTATTCTCATACTACACAGCCATAAAAAAGAACAAAATCATTTCCTTTGCACTAACATGGATGGAGCTGGAGACTATCATACTTAGTGAACTGACTCAGAAACAGAAAACCAAACACCACATATTCTCATTCATATATAGGAGCTAAATGGTCACAAAGATGGAAATAATAGACACTGGGGACACAGGAGGGGGATTAGGGTTCAGAAAATACCTATGGGGCACGATATTCACAATCTGTGGAATAAGCCACCTGAGACCCAATCCCCACCACTCCCCAATATGTTCATGTAGTGAACATATATGTGTACCCCCTGAATCTAAAATAAAAGAAAAAAGAAAAAAGCATCATATTCTCTTTTGATTTCTTTGACCCAATAATTATTTAGGAGTGTGTTGTTTAATTTACAATTATTTTTGAGTTTGCCAGATTTCTTTCTGTTAATTGAATTCTAATTTCCTTCCACTGTGATAAAATAACATACTCTGTATTATGCCTGTTATTTTACATTAACTAAAGTTTTTTTTATGGCCTTCTCAATCTCTCGCACCATTTGAAAATTTGAAAATATTTCAAGGACCAAATAAAAAGAAAGAAACATAAATATTGGCCACACTCTAGTGAGTTTTCTTTCTTTCCACACTATTATCTCCTCAAATCTTAGCTCTCTAGGTAGTTTTTCCTGTCTTAAGACAGATTTTTCAAATCTAGATTTTTGTAGTTATTCTTGGGAGAAAGGCTGAGCTGCTACAAGCTAGCTAAATTATAGATGGGAGTGGAAATAGCCTATAGAAATGTACTTGAATTTGTATGTGAGTATGTCACATACTAATAGATAAAGTCTTTATTAGTTTGCTCTGACTGATTTGGCCACTAAATACTATAACCATTATCCCCCTGTTGATCAGCATAGAGAAGTTCTTATGTAAAATCACAACTATCATTAAGCTGTGCTTTGTTTTCTCCAGGATTTTGTGTCATGTATAGAGAACTATAGAAGAAGAGGACAGGAACTATATGCTTGTTTATTCAAAGACCATGTACAGGTAAGAGACAAAACACATCCTTTCTCTACATAGTAGACAGACTCCATCTTGTACCTAAAAAACAAACAAAACAATACGAAAAACAGAACCCCCCCCAAAAAAAGGGCTATTGGTTTAAGCTCTAGATTGTCTAAATCAGTAATTTGTCATCAATGATTCAGTTCTGTTTGCATGACCTGTGCAATGGGCTTACAACCCACACTGTCAGCAGATGCGGAGATAAGCCTTGTATCCATCCACTCATGTGTTCAGTAAATAGGTATCAAAAACCCAGGGTGCGTCAGACTCTGTTGGGATCTAAAAGTGTAATTGTAAGCCTTGCTCTCAGACAACTTCACTGTAAAGGAAAGCTATACATTAAATAAATTCACAAGTTAGTAGGCATAACTTTGGGCACTAGGCGGGGAAATCACAAGGACAATGAGAAATTATCATAGGGGAGAAATCTAATTTGGGTGGGTCAGAGGTCTTATCTAAGGAAGTGACCTTTAAGCTAAGATCTGAAGAAGAAAGAATATGGGCTGAAGTATTTGAGAGAGAGTCTTTTTGACTAGGGAGGAGAGCATGTTTAAAGATCCCGAGGTAAAAAAGAGTTGGATATCATCGATTCATTGGAAGAAGTGTCTTGGGGAATCTGCACTGGGAAGAAACAAGATGAATTTAAGTATGGGTCAGAGCAGGTAGATGTTGTACCACATTAGGGTTTTTGGATTTTATTCTAAGTGCAATGGGTTGCTGTTAATAACGACAGGTTTAGATATTAAAGCCCTTATCTAGGAGTGACTGTTGTATAGTCTAGTCAAAAAGCACTGGCCCTCCAGTCATTCAGAGTCTTATTTGAATCCCAGGTGTGTCTCTTCCTAAGCCTAGAGTCTGAATCTCAAGGCCTCATCAATAATGGGGTAACACTTCCTACCTTTGACGATTTACCAAGTATGAAGCACACAGACTGTGTCTGGTAGAGAATGGATACACCCCATCGAAAGGGTGAAACATGGTATCAAGTATCAGAAAACAGAAGAGGCATTAATCTGCTGAAAACAAGGCACTCGGTCTAATTCCCCCATTTAAGTTCATTTGGCAGACCATGACATGCCCCTTGGATAAGGGGATCATGAGATGTGCAGCCTGCACCCCAGAAACACATAGTCTGGTAACATTGCCTCCCAGGTTATCCTGAGTAATGGGGTAGCAGATTGTCAGGCATGGCAGTGTGAGAGAGGATGTTTGTGGTATACAGAACATGCTCTTGGCCACAGGCAGATGGATCAGTGGGTATGTCTGGTTTCTCCAACTGCACAAGCTCCAACTGCCCTGGAAATTAATCAAGCATCATTACATCCCATCATTATATCCACAGCAAATCTTGCAACTCTGATACTTAATCAGTCAATTTTCTTCTCACTCCAGGAGTGCTGGCAAAAACAGTCACTTTTCCCCTGGCCCTGTTCAGATTCCACTTTCCCTTTTTCAAGTTATATTCATTCTCTTTTCTGTGGTCCAGCTGCTTTGTTCTATCTGATACATACTTAGGCCATTCTGTTGTTATATTGAGTCTTCATCATAAGTTACAGAAATGACTCATCTTGCCCATGCCATTAAAATTGTCTTTAGTGGTTGGAGCTCTTTGTAAGATGCCTGTCATCTTTGTAAGATACCTGGCCTTTCTTTTAGTATATGAGTTTCACTATTCTGTCCCTCTATTTTGGGATCTTCAGGGATCAACGGGATGTTTCTACTTATTGGTTGGTCTTTATCTACTCATTAAGTGTTTGTCAAAGCTCTCTTTGATGTAAATATTAGAAAATCATGTCAAACTGGCTTAGGCAACAAATAAAATGTTTTGTTTAAAATGCAGAGACAAGTAGGCTTCAAGCAGAACTAGATCCAAGCATTCATACTCTTAGCAGAACTAGATCAAGATCCATGCTTGCTCTGTGTGAGCTCCAGAGTGCATCAGTCCCAGTACTGGGGGATAATGCCCATCAGTCCATCCTGTCACCTTTCACAACATCTGGGATTAGTGAGACTTGTGTGAAGTGTTCATCCCTGAGGCCAGGGCTGGGGTCAGCTCCACAGAAGCAGCAGAGACTGAAAGTAGGGAAGGACTGATTGTCCAAAGGAAAATCAAATACAAAATCAGTCAAAAATCATAGCTGCCCCAACATAACAAAATCCCTGCCTGTGAGTCTCGGGTGTGGCATTTGCCCACTTGCAGTTTGAACTGAAAGAGGACTTGACACTGTGCAGAAACAACGGCATTTCAGAGCACCTTTCCAAGTGGGGAAACTCAGGGCTTTTACTCTTTAGTCATCTGACATTCACTGTCCTGGAGCCACATGTAACTTGCTATCATGAACTAAACAATCACTCATTTCTTGGTGATCTCACCACTGACATACATTTGTCTGGCTGAAGCTATTCAAGACAGTGTGTGCACCCTGTGGTGAAGACTTGCTCACCCATGTGCTTCCATATTGTTTAGGTGAAGTCTTGGGGTGGAGAGGTGCTCTTAAAAGACCAATTTGAAGCCCAGGCTGAACAATCTAGTAGCTTTGGATTGTTCATCCTCCATGAAGATCCCTCTACATCTCACTACAAATACAGCAACAATCTCCACTGAAATAAATCACCCAAACAAGTGTTCATTTTATATGACCAAATCTCTATTTAAAAAAAAATTTCGGACAGTCATGATTTTATGGTATTTCTTATTAACCAATTGAAGTACTATATAAATGCTATAATTGTTTTGAATATTAATTTGGGAATTACAGAGAAACAAAATAGTCTGTTTTTGAAATAGAATTAGCATTATTCACAATAATAACACAAATTACTTAAGCTGGATAAGACCATCATATCAAGCTCTTGAAAATATTGTCTCATGTAATCCTTCCATAACCTCATGGCTTTATTACTGTGGTAATATAATTAACCAAATTTGAAGGATGAGGAAGCTGACACTCATTCAGATTATACTGGTGTCAAATTGCAGAAACATGACTATGATCCAGGCTCATCACATGCCAGAGACCATGTGCTGGGCACTGTTCCCCAGTCATGTTTTCATGGAAATGACTCTGACAAGTTCTGAGAATAATTTACTCGTTTAAAATGGTTCATATTTGCAGAAGGCTAGATCTAAAAGTTCACCAGTAATGCTGGCAGAAACTGTGAGCTTATCAAATGATAATAGCCCCCTGCAAAGGCTTGTAGCTCTCGAGCTTAAGCCAGATTGGGTTTAAATCTGGGGTTGGTCACCTGCTGGTTTTTAGAGAAGTCACTTCTCTTCAGACTTAAGAGTCTTCATAGGGATGATAGAAAGTATGTATTCATGGTACCACTGTAAAGAAGAGATGAGATAAAGTAGGTGAGAGTCTCAGTCTAACACACAATCATGAGTTTTTTTTCTATGTTAAGTTATTTTTCTTGCCATTAGAGCTCACCTTTCCATTTTATAAAGAAATAAAATTCAAATTTCAGACAAAATTTTTTGAATATTCACTAATTCCAAAAGCTCACCCTGAAAATTTGATTCTACTGTTGAAACCAAACTGAACTGTTTCTTTCACAGGTGATGAATGAAACTTCAATTTAGCTATATAGGTTTAGGAGTGTTGATGTATTGTTTTTTAAAATAAAGATTTGTGGCCAGGCTCGGTGGCTCAGCCTGTAATCCCGCGCCTTTGGGAGGCTGAGGTGAGTGGATTGCCTGAGCCCGTGGGTTCGACACCTGCCTGGGAAGCGAGACCTCATCTCTACAATAAATCAAAAAAATCAGCCGGGCGTGGTAGCGCGCACCTGTAATTCCGGCTTCTCGGAAGGCTGAGGCGGAAGGATCACCGGAACCCAGTGGGTAGAGGCTGCGGTGGCCGGGAGCGGCCACTGCACTCCAGTCTGGGTGACGGAGTGAGACTCCAACTCAAAAAAAAAGAAAAAAAAAAGATTTGTGGTATACTCTAATATGAGGTATGATAGTCCAAGACTACATATACAATCTGAGAGAAGTTCATAGATATTAGGTAGGATTATTTTAATTAATATGGAAAGTTTTAGCTTCTGTGAACATTCCTTGGACATTCTAGAATCATATGATATCAGGTTTTGAAAGTCCCTTGGATATCAAGCCACTCATCTGATAGAGATTCTGGGATCCAGGTATGGAATACCTTGCTCAAATCAACCAATTATTGTCAGGACCAGTAATTCTTACTCTACCTCTAGTGCAAGCCATTGAAAGAAGTCTGTTCAGCATTATTTGCGAAGGGTAGTACATTTTATAAAATAATTGTGCAATTCACTCTGATGAGCAACTTCAGAACCTTTGGGACCTGTTGCTCTCTACCTGGCATCCAGCACTCTTGTGGCTTAAAGGCCAAAAGATATATTTTCTTATCTTCCAACTGGTATTAAATTATCTCAAAGGTGAGAACTATTTTCTTCTAGTACTGGCTCCAGTGGATGCATTATAGATCCTGAGGGTGTATAGAGGGTTATTTTTCCCAAAAAATCATAGGAGACTTGGCCTATATACCTCAGGATGTTTGGGGCCAAGCCCATAAGGAAAATGTTTCCAGGGGATGATTCTGTCTTTCTGTTTCCCAGAGGCAGAAATGTGGCAATGTCAAGGCAGCTAACGCCTGGGCCAGGATCCAGGAGCAGCTTTTTGGGGAGATGGGCTTGTGGGGCCAGGAGGCAGAAGCCACACCCTACTCCAGGTGGGAACTCGACTGGAGAGAAGGACCTGCTCGCATGAGGAAGCGCATCAAACGCTTGTCTCCACTGGAGGCCCTGAGCCCAGGAAAGTACAAGGTAGGAGTTAGATGCAGCAGGACAGTGGTGGCTCCAGGTAGGAGCTGTGTAAGGAAGTGGCTCTTTAGCTTTTCCATTGCATGTTGTTTTTATCAGGTAGCAGAGCTAATGTATGCAGCTACATGTAGAGGAGTCCCATGATTTATTTATTTATTTATTTTTGAGTTGGAGTCTCACTCCATCGCCCAGGCTGGAGTGCAGTGGCATGCTCATGGCCACACCAGCATCGACCTGCTGGGCTCAGGCGATCCTTCCACCTCAGCCTTCCAAGTAGCCAGAACTACAGATGCATGCCACCATACTTGGCTAATTTTTTGATTTATTGTAGAGATGAGATGGAGCCAAGTTGCCCAGGTGGGTCTCGAACCCGCGGGCTCAGACAATTCACTCACCTCGGCCTCCCAAAGCATGGGATTATAGGCCGAGCCACCGAGCCTGGCCACATTTCTGCCTTTTAAAGGATGAGAAGTCAGTTGGATTCCTTTGATAATGAATATAGAAAAATCTGTTAATCGTTTTTCATGTCCCTATTGAACAATTATAATTTCAGATATTCTAAAAGGTAACCTCCCAAGTACTGGAATGCTGGATAGTTCCTTCTGCATTCACCTCAAGTCACAATGTTGAGTTTATTCTCTAGTCTGTAACCCCAGAAACTTTTATACATGCTAAAAATTATTTATAAAACCCAAAGATAAAAATATATTTCATTTATTCAGTAGACATGCATATTTTAAGTATTGTCAATAGTTATCTGGTGGAATGTAATATTTTTCTCTCAATACATTTCTTAAAAATTGGAAGCAGGAAAATTAAGTAACCTGCTTACTGTGCTTGTGACAAAGCCAAAGGCTGGCCAAGAAGCCTGGTATATGGTGCCTCATGCTGTCCAGCCTCAGATCCTTTGCCTGCACCCTCTCCAGCAAATCCCCTACACAGACATCAGGTTGCTATCTAGTCCCATCTTGGCATCTTCTTTGGTAATTACTGTAAGTCCTAGTTAATGGAAGATTGTGGGTTTTTTCCCCTTTGACTCATGAACATTAATATTTGCATTTTATTGTGGTCCTTTAGGATTTAGCATTCCTCTCTCCTTGCTTATGAGTCTTGAATAATTTGAAGGCATCATATGCATGTGTATTTGTGAATTTGTGGAACTGGGAGGTCAAAGCATACATGTAGTCTACAGGATTTAATTTTGCTTTTCTCTGGTCTTATTTCAGGAAAACCAAGACAAAAATGATAATATTTCTCAAACAAATGTTGAAAACCAAGGTATTTAGTTGATCAATTTTGTTTCTTTTTTCCTTAATAATTAACTTAATTGTTGGACTTTTAGTATCTTATTGAAAGTATTAAATTAACATTTTAGAAAAAGAAAATACTGTAAGACTGGACTAGGCAACACTGAGACTATTCTCGTTACTATGCTTGCAAAATAAGAAACAACTATTCCAGGCCTAGATGCTTTATTGAGGGAATAATTTTGTATGAAACCTGCAACAATAAGAATTTTGGGGGGAAGAAACCTTGCCAATTTAATATATCAGGGCGACCTTAAAAGGTTCCCCAACAATACATGTTCAGTAAGTGACCAAAAACAAATAGGAGAAAAATGACAAAAAAACTTAGATTAAAATAGGTAGAATAGATATTTAGTACTTTTTACATGGAATTCTCTAATTATGAAAATGACAGATATAATAATCATGATCTCCCAATTTAAAGAAAATTTTAGGAGTCATTTTTTTGTTAATACTTTTTACTTGGGTAATTCTCATAAAGAAATGTGGTTGAGTCAATTCGCTAGAAATTCAGTGTTTATTTTCAGAGATCATTTTGGCATGGACACACACACACACACACACACACACACACACACACACACATATAATTTAGTGTTTCCACCAAATACTCTGCCTCTTGGTTTGAGCACTCCCTGTCTATAAGTTTCACTGTACCCTAGGTTGCAGCGAGTGTCTTCTTCTTGTCTTCTCCATGACAACTTCTTAGTGTTGATCAAGCTTGTCTTATTTACTGCCTGAACAGAGCTTGGTACCTTGCTAGTGCAGTAACACAAGTCCAGAAGTAAGGATTCTGGGCTCTGGTCCCAGGGTGATTTGTGTCCCACTGTGGCACAGAACATGGGATGACATTGTGATACCTACTTATCTCTCTTCTCTATGCCCCAAGTCCCATAACTCTACATTGGAATGATTACCTGCCTGTTATGACTCAGAGATGGGAAATGCTGAGAGTGCTGTCATGGAAAGGATGGTCTGATTGTATGTGAACTATGGCTATGAGCTGCTATGTCCTCCCTTTCCCAATAAGCGGCGCCCTTGGGCTCCTTGTTTTTCTACATGGACCCTGTGTAGGGAGATCAGTCAAGGGAGAAAAAAGGGCCTATGGTTCTCTACTGTGCATTTCCCAGGTACCTGTGCCTACAGGATTCTCCCTTTGTTGGGAAAAGCCTATGAAGGTTTGCTATGAGCAGCAAACACTTCCATTTGTCCAGATGTGGGACTCTTTGGTGGGGAGAAGATCAAAGAGGTAAGCTTTTTGGCACAAATAAAATGATCCATAGCCTTCTGGCTATGCAATCAAGAGCAATCTGGCTGATCCAGATAGGTGGTTGCTTAGAATAGGTGATGGGAGGAGCAGGATCCGGAAATCCACATAGTTATATATTTGACCTGGACCCAAGTGCCCCTGCCTAGAAGTGTATCCACAGGAAATAAATTGAGATATGCACATAAAGATTGCAGTACAGGCCGGGCTTGGTGGCTTAGCCTGTACTCCCAGCACTTTGGGAGGCCGAGGTGAGTGGATTGCCTGAGCCCGTGGGTTCGAGACCTGCCTGGGCAACTTGGTGAGACCTCATCTCTACAATAAATCAAAAATTAGCTGGGCGTGGTAGTGTGCACCTGTGGTTCTGGCTACTTGGAAGACTGAGGTGGAAGGATCACCGGAGCCTAGCAGGTCGAGGTTGCAGTGGCCGGCAGCGTGCCACTGCACTCCAGTCTGGGTGACGGAGTGAGACTCCAACTCAAAAAAAAAAAAAGATTGCAATACAGTATAGTCATGATAGTGCAGAAATGAGAACCGTCTGTATCTCTAAAAAATAGGAGATAGGTTGGTTGATTATGAAATTGCCACATAATAGAATATTATGCAGTCAATTAAGCAATTCAAAAAAGTTATGGAATGGGAAGGTGCTCATGATGTTATCTTTATTGAAAAAATACCAGAGAAGAAAAATTGAATGCACTATTATTCTTATCATGTCGAAAATAACATGTGTGGGTGTGTGCATGTGTAAGTGTGCATATACATATACTCATATATGTACAGAAAACATAGATACTGGAAGTAAAAAAACCAAAATGTAAACGGTAGAATCAAGCAGTTCAACAATTAGGAGACCAGACTCTGGACTCAGAGAGACTTCAGATTCTACCTCTAGTTCTTAGTAGCAATATGATCTTGGAAAAAGTAATTAGCCTCATTCAGTTTTTTTAATTTGTGAAGTTAGGATGAAATAGTAGCTACAATCATGGTAGGACTAAATGAAAAATTGTCATCAAGAGTATTTGAAGTCGGGCTCGGTGGTTCAGCCTGTAACCCCGCGCCTTGGGAGGCTGAGGTGAATGAATTGCCTGAGACCGCGGGTTCGAGACCCGGCTGAACAACTTGGCGAGATCTCATCGCTACAATAAATCAAAAAAATCAGCCAGGCATGGTAGCGCATGCCTGTAATTCTGGCTATTTGGAAGGCTGAGGCGGAAGGATCGCCGGAGCCCAGCAGGTCGAGGCTGCGGTGGCCGGGAGCGGCCACTGCACTCCAGTCTGGGTGACAGAGTGAGACTCCAACTCAAAAAAAAAGAGAAGATATTTCTATCATTAGAAAAAAACAGCTACACTCTTTTAAAAGAGTGAACAAAGTAAAATTCAGAAAAATCAAATCCTGGATGAGCCTTTAGGGAGTTGAGTTTCTGATTATTAAAGGGGGTGAATTTGGAAATGATGTCCTGCAGTCACTGGTAAGCTGCAGAGGAGTCAGGGCTGGGTACACTTGGGCCCTCCAGGATGAATCAACTTGAAAGTGTGTTGACTACATCCCAGGGTGAGCTAGATGAGTGGTGTTTGTTACAGAAGCAGTGCAGGGGTATGGTGAGAGATCCACACTGTTCACTTTTGCCCTGGAAACTTGCTGTTCCTCTCAGTGAGGTAGGCACATGCTGATTGCCAGCTCTTGTGATATCAAGTGCCTCATGCCAAAACCACGTGTCCCTTTATGCTGCCGCAGATGAACTGACACCAAAGGAGCTTGAGAGTGAGCCAGATGAGGTGGCAGTGGACTGCACCCAGCTGACATTCTTCCCTGCTTTACATGAAAGTCTGCACTCAGAAGATTTCTTGGAACTGTGTCGGGAGAGACAAGTTATTTTACAAGAGCTTATTGATCAAGAAAAGGTAATACACCCAGTCACGGTTATTCTTTAAGATTATCAGACAGGAGAGAACCAAGCTTTTTTCATTCACAGGGGAGTAAGATCTCCATTCACTACAAAAACTGTCAACTAAATAATCGATGAGCAAATCTGTGGGCCTAAATTTGTGGGCCCAGCACAAGGATGCAAATGGAAGCCTAGATACCCTGTGTCAAAATATTTTAAAAATGTAACTCAAGCTAACACATTGTTAAATGGAATATGCTCCAACTTCCTACCTTGTTCTTCATAACAATCTTTGAGGCCAGTTTCAAGTTGAGAATTCCTGACCTTCCTGTAGTTAAGCACACCTTGGCCTCTACCTGACCACCCAGAGAGGCTCCACACCTTGAGGGGCCCTGGGTGAAGGTGTTTAGTGCTCCAGCCCATATGTTCAAACTGTCCCCAAGCCTTGGCCTTCCCTTGGTCATCACTTAGGCCTTGGGATAAGCATACTTGTGGCACCATCAACCTCCAAAGGGTCATCCTGGAGATGAAGTGTGTGCAGGCCCAGGAGGCAGGCTGTGGAGCAGTTGCTAGGGAAACCCAGGGTACTGGGTCCCTAGAGTTGGGCTGGGGGAGCTCTAGCTCCCCCGTATTCTCAGGTTCTGTAGTTTATAATCACGGTTTTGAGCCAGTCCCAGCCCAGCCTATTGTAGCCCACAGGTGCCCTTGACACTTGTCTGTATCTTGCTATTGCTGATTCTCCACTCATTTCCCTCAGAGGTCTTGTCAGGGGATGGAGGAAGTTCTGAAGTTCACAGGTGACAAGACTTTTCCAGCCCCTGAGGCAGAACAGAACTAGGAAGACACTGTTCTCCCCTCCTCACTTCCCTGCCTTGTATTTAAGCTTCAGTCTTTCTTGGCCTCCATGTTGCTCAGCAGGAAGCTGTCAGAAATGCCATACATTTGCTGTGGCAATAGGAATCTTCAGGATATGCAGGAAGGAACGGACAAAACCCAGCGGGTGATGGGAAAGGGAGAGAACCAGCAGGAGCCGTCCTGTTTCCACTTAGCGTGTGATGTCCCTACACCTGCCAGGAGGGGCTGGCCGGGGAGACCCCGCATGAGTGTTGGCTCCCCTGGAACAGGAGACTGGGATGGGCTGCCTTGGCAAATCTAACACTGCCACCGTGGAGGCGGAGTCCAGCAAACTATGCCCAGGAGGACAGCTTGATGCAGAGGAAAGTGCATAGAACAAACTCAGACCTCATTCTGCTTTTTGTTGCTATTATTAGCAAAAATGTCAACAGCTACGTGCCACAAGCCGTTCCTTTGTGTGCTCTTCAGGTAGCATCTCGTCTAGCCTCACCTGATCCTGTGAGGGAGGCTTGATCATTTCCATTATAAAGGTGGCAAAAGCAGAGCCCAGTGTGGTTATCCACTGGAATTGCTAGGATCTAATCTCAGATCTCTCTGACTCTCAGTTTCATGTGATTTTTCCCTTTCTCTACTGTCTTCCAACTTCCTGTGTTGGGCAAGTTACATAAACTCTCCACCACCCTATTTCTGGCAGCCTGCCCCTGTTAGACTTGGAAGTGTAGCTCCAGGCTCTGTGTGCTTCCTCTGTAACTGTTTTGGGTATTTCTGGGGCAGACAGGACTCCAGGTCCATTGTCAACATGTCATTTCTGTCCAGGACACAACACACCAAGCACATGCCAATCTGTCCTCTTGTATGTGCTTTAGCCCCTGATCCATTAAGGCTTTTAGACAAGGACAGGAACTGGAGCCTGAGGAAGGAAGGATAGGAGCACTGATCTTTGAACCATGAACATGTTCAGGCAAACATACAGAAAGTTTGCCCAAGGGGTGTGTGTGTGTGTGTGTGTGTGTGTGTGTGTGTGAGTGTGTGTGTGTGTGTGTGTGTGTGTGTATTTATTTAAGGGATGCCCTCTGCATTTCCCAGACTGGTACTTCTCTTGTGTTGAGAAATTTTGTAGCAAGCATTTGTTATAATCTAGCACTTTCTCTAATTCAGATGTCACCATGAGACCTTGTGAGTTGTGTCTTCTTTCTAGATTTTTAAGTTAAATAGGCCCAGACAGGAGTGTGACAGGTACATGTGCATGCTCCTGCATCAGAGTCCCAGATCTTCCTTCCCCTGCCATCACAGAACCGCTTGCTTATGTGGCCTTTTCTCTAGAAGACATTCCAGGAAATAACCTCCTCCCAAGCATCTGGGTGGCCTGACCCTGAAAGATGCCTCTGGAGCTGCAGGCACCATGCTGGCTCTGCGGGAAGCTGGCAGTGCAGTGGTTCCAGGGTGGTCACAGCTTAACTCATTTCTTTGTGTGATCATCAGAGTTCTGATCACCTCCAGCAATACCTGGGATGATAATTATTCAATTATTCTGTGCCACCTTTGCATCATTGATTAATGATTCCCAGAACCACAAACACATTTCTCTACAAACAGTTCCATTTGACATCAGGAGTGATTGATTTAATGCATGTTAATTTTAGGCCTCTGTCAGTTACCATGTGACTGGAAACCTTCCTTATATAGCTTCCAGATCCAGTCCAGAGTCAGAGTCAAGTGAGGGCTCATTGTGCTGTTGTTCTCTTTGACTACATAAAAAATTAAACTTTTTTTCCCGTACAAATTCCATGTACAATACAAGTTTGATTCTGGTAGAAATGACCAATTCAAAGGAGATATTTTTGCTCTGGACATCAGAGAGTGGCAACTCCCCCAGCCTCTTTCCAGGCGTGTTTAGCTGAGGCTGTTTGGAGAAGGTAAAGAAGGGTGTTAACCTTTCCATGTCTTAGTGAAGCGCCATTGCTTTCTGAAATGCAAACTGCACATGTCATTCCTACTTAATAGCAATTTGACGTGTCATACACAAGGCCATTCCTGAACTGACCCTATGGCTTTTCTGGGCTTAACTCCCATACTCTTATACATGCACACAAACACAAACACATGCATGCACGAATACATATGAGCACACACGTGTACAGGCACGTACACATGCATAGGTGTGCATGTACACACATGCTTGCTGCCTGCACATATATGTACACACGCACACACCCTTCACTTTTGACTTTTTAGTATGCAGAACTACCTATAATCTCCAAACATGTTCTGCTGGTTCAAGACCTTATGCCTTGAAATGCTTCTACTCTGTTTTTGATCTTCTTAGTTCTTAACCTCAACCTTGGGGTCATCTCCTAGGAAATCACTTCTTTGATGTCACCTCTGCCCCTCTTACTCCTGGAGTGCCAGTCCTTTCTTTTCCCACACTATGCTGGCATAGTTTGATATTCTTTTTCTTCTCTCTCATTAGACTATAATTTTCTTGAAGGCATGTTTCATTTACCTTTGTGCCTACCAGTGTGTGGGCACATGCTGAACACCTAGAACATATCTGTTAAATACATGTATAAACAAAGGGATGAATAAATTATTAACAATATGCTGATGTCAGATGAAGCCTGATCTTTCTTAGCCTAGCGTTGCCATCTGCATCAGAATCTTCTGGGCTGCTTATTAAAATTCAGATTCTAGAGCCCAACTCTGCACCTGTTGAATCAAAACTTCTGGGGTAATAGCCTGGGAATGTGAAGTCTGTCAAGCTGAGTAAATGCCCAAGATCCATGTGTCCAGGTATCACAATATTCAGAGTTACCCTGGCTAGAAACATGCTCTAATTTCAACTATTACCAATGAAAGGATCCTTAGTGAACACAGGTTATGATGAGCATTATGCTTTAAACATTCCTCAGGATTTGTAACATGTCTCACAATACACTTGGGTAACCAAACAAGACTAAAGCGACTTCTTTTTCCACCGGGTCTCCTCTGAATCTGCAGAGAAAGGTGGGCAGCATGGCTGTTTGCAGGCTCACTGTGGAAGTGGCATGTGAAGGCAGGCAGGGGGCATCCCTGCTCCTTGTCTCAACCTGAGAAGATATACTGATGTAAGGAGATCCATGTATTACATTCCTTTTCACATTTGGCAAGTTGATACATATCAATAGTATCTCATTGTTTTAATATACATTTATTTGATTGCTAGTATGACTGAATACTCCATCTAAAAATGGTCAAGGTCGAAAAAGTGATGCCAGAGTCCATAGGTAACCAACATTATTTATACAGCCTTTCCCTGTTTTTGACACTCAACTTTTTCTTAGCAATCTTTGCTTTTCTGAAAAATAAGGATACTTATTCCATATGCCAATACTAAAAGAAGGTACTAAGAGCAAGGTCGAGGCAAGCAGATATGTAGGTAGAAGGGCAGATAATAAATGCAGCAGGGCCAGAGTTTTCTTTGCAGTAGACTCACTCACTGACTCTGCACATAAACATAAGAGAATACATACATGGGTAGTTCTGTTACTGGTCCCTTCAATGACTACTCTGGACCGCAGTGTTCCCACTTATAAAATTATGGTGTTGCACTAAATTGAAGACTAATAATGCCAGTGAAGACTTCAGAGAGCATCCAATTGACCTTCCCTTTTCAGATGTGCCCACTGAAGTCTGACTTCAGGAGAATGTGCTGATGGGAGGTATCACTGAATTTCCCAGCAGCTTGCTGACTCCTGCTATGGTTTGAATATGTCCTCCAAATATAATTGCTATCGTAACAGTATTAAGGAATGGGGCCAGTATTAAGGATTAGGTCATGAGAACACCACTCTAATGAATGGTTTAATGCCACTATCGCAGGAGTGGGAGTGGGCTCCTGATAAAAGGGATGAACATGGCCTCATTTCTCTGTTTTGTGCACTTACTTTTGCCTTCCATTCTTCAGCCATGGGATGACCCTCACCAGATGACTGCACCAACATTTGGACTTCTCAGGCTCCAGAGCCATGGCCAAATAAATACAATTTCTTTATAAGTTACCCAGTCTATGGCATTCTGGTATAGCAGCAGAGAATGAACTAAGATACCTTCAGACTTTAGCTCCTGTATTTTTGAATATCCAGATAGCTTGATTGTTCTCATACACAGAGCTAGGGTACCTTCTTATTATCTACCCATTGGGAGTGATGGTATATAATCCAGTCATTCTTTAAAAAGTTCTACTTATGAAGCAAAAGTTTTGCTCTTTAAAGTGATCAATAGAATCATGGTATGAGGGATTTCTTAATCGTGAGTAAACTTAGGGAAGGAACACTCCCATGGCTAATTTAAATGGAAGAGCAGGTAATAATTCACTCGGGTTCATTTTCCAGTTTTTAAATGCCATTTATTTCTAGCAGAATCAATTTTTAACCTATTAACCCAGCTCTCATCAGACATTTTTTTTTTCTTGTGGTTTGGTCTATTCTGGTTGATACATAAGTCTCCCCAAAGGGAAGCACCAGAACACAGATATCTGCTCTGAGATCCTGCTTCAGGCACCATACAGGTTGTAATGGGAACGTAGTATCACGTGGAAGTGAGAGGGCTTGGAGGCACATAGACTAGGGATGGAACTGTGGCTCCATATCTCACCTTGTGGATGGAATTGCTGAGTCTCATTTGTAAAAGACACAACAGAAGACAATTTTTAAGCAGCCTGGCCTAACTCTCCCAACAGTGCTGGTGGGACTATAAATGATGTCACTTGCAAGAGGGTAATCTGGAAACAGCTATAAGAACTTAAAATGCCCACACCCATGACCTACAATTCCACTTCTAGAAATTTAATCTGCAGATTTGCTTATGTGTTTACAGTGACATACCTATAAGATGGTCATTATAGAATTGCTTGTTATGTCAAAATATTTGAAAGCAACCCAAATTTGATCAGTCAAATAAAATGTAGTACATCCATGCAAGGGAATGGTCTGTGACTGTTAACAGGAGTGAGATAATACTGCAAGAAGTTATTTGGAAGGTTCTCCAAGATGGTTTGTTAGAGGACAAGACTAGGTGCAGAGCTGTAAGTATATAAATGTGCTCTTTTTGTAAACAAAAAGAATACATACAAAACATGCTTATGTATTCATAGAATCTCTTTGGAAGAAAGTACAATAAAGTAAGAATGGTGGTTGGAAGACAACTAGGGAAGCTGGGAATGCCATTTAATTGCCCAGGTCCCAAAGTAGACATCTGTCTTTGATCTTTCCTGGTTTTTTTCCTTTTTCTCCTCCCTTCCTTTCTCCCTCCCTCCCTCCCTCCCTTCCTTCCCCCCTTACCTTCCCTTTCTCTGTCCTTCACCTTCTCTTTCTTTCTTTCCCTTTCTACCTCCCTCCCACCCTTCCTTCTTTCCTTCCCCTCCATCTTCTTCCCTTTTCTTTCTCCTTCCTTCCTGTTTCACTTTTGCTTTTCAGGTAGTCTAGTTGCAGTTCCTGTCAATTATCCATCTTCTTGTTTAGCCCCACTAACTTGTCTCCCTCTCTACTCTGCCTCCCATCCCAGGCCACTATCCATTCATAGACCACTGAAACAGCAACATGACTGACCACCTTCCTTTTAATCTTGGTCCTTTCTAATTCATACTTTCCTCAGCTGTCAGTGTCATCTTTCAGAAACAAGCTCGCTGGCTCTCTGTTGCAACCACAATACAACTCAACATCCCTTGATCGGGGCACTCCTTCTTTGCAACCTCATCTCAACCATACTGACCTCTTTTCTGCTTCTAGGCTCTTAACTGGATGCCACTTTTCCCTGAAATAATCTTCCAGATTTTCCATGGCTGCCTTGTTTTTATCCTTCAAGTATCAGGATCTGCACAAAATAGTGCCCTCGCTGTTTCTCTCTGGCTTATCATTATCACCATAATTCTATAATCTCAGTCTGTATTATAGTCTGTAATAGTTTGTGGGTTAAAATATCTCCACTGGATTTCAAACCACATGAGGGTAGAATTCCTATATATCTTGTCAGTCCCGTATCCCCAAATCCTGACTCAGGTTCTGACATGGAGTAGATGATGATCTAGATGAATAAATGAAATTGGAAATGAGTTCACATCAGACTCTGGCTTTGAAGGTGGTTTGAGGGTCAGATCCTTTGACAAAGTAGATTCAGGAAATACTGAGGCAGCTGGCTTGGTTATAGAAACCAAGACTCTTGACTAGTCCTTACTTAGGAATGAGCTCAGCCTGGACTTGCCCCGAATTGTAGTGATCATTGCTTATCTTGGGAAAAACTCTTAGTGAATCTTTGCTTTTTGGCTTTGACTTTGGTTTTCACTAATCTCATTTGATGCAAGAATTGGACAACTGGCACTCAGGGCCTACTTTCTAGGTTTCACCACTGTGGCCTCATCATTGCTCCCAAAGGTGAACAGGGAACTTACTTTCAGTCACAGACTTTACCACTTACTAGGTGATGGATCTTTGGTGTGATTCTTATCTCCTGGGACTTCCTTTATTTTCTCTTTGAAAAATATCTGTTCTGCTTTTGTGTAAATGAAATTAGCTCAAAATTATCTAAAAAAATGTTGGTGTTGGCCTTATTCTTGGTCCCTTTAGGCTCCCATCATCTAGAAATCATTTATTCATTCACTTGTTTCTTTAGGGATTTATTCTATGTAAGGACCCACTTATTCCTTGCCACATGCAGTACATACTGAGACATTGTCACAGGTCATAATTCCCCGGAAGCTAGCTATGAGGTTTACTGGGAGTGAGGGTTGCAGAGATGAACCAACAGAGAAGTACAACTCTCCAAGTTTCTTCCTGCCTTATCATTATCACCCTAATGCAGTCTCAGAAAAACCTTCAGCTGATTTCATAGCAGCTCTGGGTTTGGGATGGATTTTCACAGCTGTCTTGAATTGAGGCAAAGGGGCTAAGCCTTCCTACTCCACATTGACCTGGTAGGTTAGGTATAGATTGCTGCTGGGAAGAAGACATGGCCTGGCCAGGTGTTTTGTTTAGCTGAGGCAGTTCCAGAGAGCTGCCAACATTTCAAGCAGCTGGGGAATACATGCTTTGTTCCAAGAAGAAGAACCTGGGGGGAGCACTGTGCACCCCCACCACGCACTTGCCTTGACCCTCTGAGACGGCACTACCAGTCTTGTACTTGTGTTTCTAGACAGACCTGAGCACAACCCCACACCAGCCGGTCCCTGGACAAACTTCTCCTCCTCTGTAACTGAACGATGTCTTGTACCTGGTAAACTTTCCTCACTGTTAACTATAGAATGCTTTTTAGAATGCATGCTTGAGGAGGGGCTTACAGTGAGAAAAAGGACTTTGATGTACTTAATAAACACTCACCCACAGGCCTTGGTGAAGAAGAACTTGGGTAGAATAAACATCAGCCCAGGGTGTTGAGTGTGGAAGTGTGACACATGCTATAAAAAGCAGAACATTTCTGGGGCATTGGAGCTGACGTTCGTACAAGGTACTACTCTCACCTCCAAGTGCCCAGTGGGTGATTGGTCATTGTCCTCCCGTTTATCATAAGAATCATGAGCTTTCTCCACATGTACACCACCTGACTCTGGTGCTCTCTCCCTCCAGGTAACACAGAAGTTCTCCCTGGTGATTGTGCAGGGCCACCTAGTCTCGGAAGGTGTCCTTCTCTTTGGCCAACAGCACTTCTACATCTGTGAGAACTTCACACTGTCTCCCACAGGCGATGTCTATTGCACCCGCCACTGCTTATCCAAGTGAGTTCTCGGCTTGTCCCAGCAGATTCTTCCTTGAGCCCCATTCTTCCTTTCCAGTGGCCCCACTCTTTCCCCTCTCACCTTGTTCTTACTGTGGGCTTAGATTTGGGACTGAAACTGAGTCATGAGGTAAAACCAAAACCTGTAGGCATATGCCACCTATAACCATGGTTCCCTAAAGCTGAATCTGGAAGGGGTACCAAGGTGGACCTCCTCATGTCTCTCCTGATACGGTATGTATGGCAGGACATAGGAATCTTCCCTTAGGTTACTTGGGTGACTGAACTAATCAATTCAATCATATCAGCTAACTCGCCCAACAATTTGTTATTGCTCCTTCTGTGGAAGACACCCACACCACCCCTTCACTCTGAGGCACATGAGCCCAATTAGCAGCATAAACAAGTTATTTTGGGAGGAGTTGGTAGTACACTGTGATCATGGGACAAAATACATGTTATGGGAGGACTCTTCAGGATTATGCTTGTAGAGATGACCTCAGACTGGTGTTGTGAGGGAGGGCTACCCGAGGAACAGGTAAGATCTGGGTCTTGCAGGATAGGGAAGATTTGAAAAGAAATTTGAAGAGTCATTTTTACACCAACTGATACCAGAGGACTTTGGCAGGAAATTCCGATTTCTTCTTTAAGATAAAATATATTTGATCTATTTGGATTTAATCAGCTCTTTCTGCTGTTCTCTTGTGTTTATACAGCACAAGTTGACTATTTTCATTTTTGCCAAGGGTCTAGTTGACAAGTATATGTTTTTACCTGATCATTACTTTTGAAAACATTTGGATGAAGATTTCTTCATGTAGAGCTAGACTTTGCCTTTTCTGGCTAGAAATTTCAAATAATGACAAGACAATCTTTGAGCCCAGGGGCTCTCAAACTAGCTAATATCAGAATCTCTTGTGAGGCTTGTTAGCACACAGACTTCTGGGTCCTACTCCTATCCCAGTTTCTAATTTAGTAGGTCTGGGCTATGTCCCGAGATTTAACAAGTTCCTAACTGATGCTGATTCTATCACTGGTCTGTTTCCACACTTTGAGAACCACTGTTTTAGGCTACTGACAGAGGAATCTGAATCTTACCCGCCAGTAATCAAGAATTTCCAAAATAACCTGTTGTCGTATCACTTTCAGTCTATGTCAGGAAAGCAAGAGCTGAAAAAGCGTGGAAGAGTAGATGTCAGCCCACACTCCTTTGATTTAGATCAAAATGCTTTAAAATACTTGGCATTTTTCTCTCTGCTAATTTCCATCTTTTATTCATATCAAATGTTCACCGATTGCTGCGGGTCTTCTGTGCTTTTCCAAAGCAGGAGGAGCATAATTAATACTTGGCACACTCATCCCTTCTTATTGCTCATGTTTTATTGATATTGATCAATATGAACAATGGGTCTACAGATGTGCCTTTCTGAGAGCTGATGAAAGCTTTCTAATCTACCTATATGCATGGCATGCTCATGTGATGACTTGAATCATCCATTGCTTCACTGTTCACCTCTGGCTTGGATTGAGCTTGTGTTAAAGAAGATCTTATCGATTAAGTAAACTGTGTTTATGAGGTGCCTCTAATCATGATCAAATTGACTATATCTGCACTTTTAATGGAAGTTCAGTGGCCAGGTTGTACGTATGCACTTGATTTGCAACGACAGTCAGGAGAGACTTTCCATGTCTGAAAATGCAAGTAAAAGTAGAGTGAGAACAAATTACTACCCTGAGATATCATTTGGGGATTGCACAGGTAATTTTAATCACCAAACCTCAAAAAAGTGTTTGTTAATCAGACAGTGCTTTCTCTCTGGGGTCTTGTCTACTGTCTTAAGAAACTCTTGGCACTCCTGGAGACAGTTCTCAGAGACAGGCTGTTAGATCATGCCAGATCAATGAGGATTAAGTCTTGTTTTGACCATGGAGACTAAGGAAGATACATAAATAAGTATTTTAAAAATAAAGTTATGTCAAGCCTGAAATGTTTCTCTAAAAGACTGCTATCAAATTGAGCACAGTTGAGCATTAGACCTTGAAAGATGCTCTCTGATGTACCATAAAAATATCCCAAATCAAACTCAAGAACACCAAAGATTCCTCATCAGAGATTGGGCTTTGTACTTTGGAAATTTCCTTAGAAAGCAACAACCTTCTGAGAAGGTTAACTTTTGCTTTGCTTCTTAACTGGTTAGAGTGGCTATGTTAGTTTTCCAGAGCTGTAAAAAACAGAGCGACTTTTAAAAAATAGAGATTTATTGTTTAACAATCCTAGAGGCTAGAAGTATGAAATCAAGGTAGAGCCACACTACCTGTGACTGCTCAAGGGAAGAATCCTTCCTTGCCTTTTCTGGATTCTGGTGCTTATGGACAATCCTTGGCATCCCTTGGCTTAAGGATGCATTGCTTCAGGCACATGGCCATCTTCTCCTTGTATGTCTTCACATCACCTTCCCTCTGTGTATCTTTCTGTCCAAATTTTTCCTTTTTATAAGGCATCAATCATGTTGGATTGGGGTCTACCCTGATGAGCTCATCTTGATTACCTCTGTAAATGCCCTGTTTTCAAGTTACATTGTATGGTACTGGGGATTAGGATTTCAACATATCTCTTTTGGGGAATACAATTCTACTCACAACAAGGGCGGTCAACTCACAAGGTATAGCATGTGAATAATTTGTTGGAAACTCAGACCATTCAACTAACTCTTTGTGATAGGATTCTATTAATCAGATACTTCTTCCCCATCAGTGAGCAGCTTTAAGGCATCATTTCTCTGTTTAACTCAAAAATATTTATTGAAAATTTATCTTGTGCTAGGTACTATGGTAGACTCCATAGATACAAACAGATGAGTCAGATGTGGGCTAAATCTAGTAAAGAGTTTGTAATCTAGTGAATGATTCTGGGAATAAATTTGGTAATAATCAGATAACTTCAAATGTGGGGCACAAAGTATATTTGATTCTGAAATCCACTTCTACTATCAAAGAACAGGTCAACCAATGTCACAATTATCATTTAGCTTACTGTGATTTCCCTAATAAGAATATTAAAAGTTATACTATAACTACCTGGACAATTTCCCCATATCTTGATAGCTGTTGTGCTGTAGAACTGTGAACAATATTCTATGAACTATGGCAATAGGTCTATATAAAGAAGAGGGATATGGATTGGCTGCCACTTTTTGCCCATTGACCTTGGGTACCTGAACTCTGATTTATGTTGCAGAACATGTAGGATGTAGAGATGTCAAAGACACCTAATCACAACTGTGTGAATAATGCTACATAAGACAGAACTTAATTTGGACTTATATCAGGAAACTCAACAACGTTGTACATAATTTAGCTTTTCTGAGGATTTGTGTCTTAGGATTCATGTCCTATATGGTTATTCCATTCCTACAAGCAAGAAGTATGGCTGGCTTTTATTCTAAAAGCCTCTTGTAATTTTCTAGAGCATTCTTCCTTAAGCCATCAGTGTTTCAGAGACCTGGTTGCAGAATTAGTCAACATCCAGCAAACTGAAAGCAGGGAACCAATGGGAAGATCTCTGTCAAATCCAGGCCATCTTTCTGTCTCTGGGAAGAAAAAGTTTGAGTTTTAGAATCAGGGAATCTGATTGTTGAATGAGCATGAGTTTTAGAATCAGGGGACCTGAGTTTGAATCCAAGTTCTACCTCTTAATGACCATATGATCTTGGAAAGTTCTTGTCTCTGTGGAATGCAGTTTCCTCATTTATGATATGGGATTTAAAATGGCACATGCTCAGTAAAGGCTTTCATGAAGATCCAATGAAAAAAGGAATAGGGAAGTGCTTGTCAGGTCATAGAGCATGATAGTCACTCAGTAAACATGCTCAGAGCTCAGGGGACTACTTCCTCAGAGAACAGAGAGTCCAAAGGTCCATGCCTTTGCATAGTCTGCAGTGGGGAGATACCAGTTAAGTGTACAGTTAAGATACAGAGGACACTTTTTATAGTTTTCATAAGCTTGAGGCTATGGGAGCACAGAGGAGTAGTTATGTCATTCCCATCGGTTTCTTTACCTGAGATGCTACTTGACCTAAGCCAAGGGTAGGAGGAGGAATTACCACTATGGCCCCACTGGGAGTCAGAGGAGTTTAAGGAAAGCTTAACTTAAACCCACATAGAGGCACTAATAACAAACAAAGGTCCTCAGTCAGCAGCAGGTTTGAGTTAAAGTATCGTGGAAATAGCATCCAGAACCAAAGCCACATTTTGTATTTGATCTATCCCACAGCAGTGTGGCTCAGAGCAGAGGGCCCAAAAGGGTTGTTCTGAGAAGGGGCTGCAGAGAGCCTGAGTCTGCATCTTCAAAATCCAACTGTGTAGCAGCCTAAGCAAAAGACTCAGGCTGTATTTCACACAGGCAGGCTTCTCTGCTGCCCAATGGTGAGTATCCAATGGATGCACAAGTCAAAGCTCTTAGTACTGCAGATGCTGGATCACCACTGACCATAGACTAGAGAATTCCTGCCAAGCCTATATGACCTCTCGGGCTGTCTCTCAGCTTCCCCAAGAAGTATGGCATGGAGGTCCTATGGCGGGTAGCACACTGGGAACTGGGACGGGAGGAAATGAAACATTCTCTTCACCCGCTTTCCACCACCTTGGACTGGGGTTGGCAGACACCACCGTGGGGTAGAGGTTCTTTCAGCTCTTGGCTCTCTGGGTCTGTGGTCATCATGTAGGCTTCCAAGGGCTGGTGCTCTTGAGAGGCCTTTCATTTCTCAGTCCCGGCATTTAATTTGAATTGCTGTGGTGGTTTACACAATTTAAAATTACTACATGACCCAAATGTTCAGATATATAACTGTCTATGGCTGAAATCAAGTTTATTTCTCAAGCCCCCATTTGTACAGGTTGTAAAAAGTTTCATCAGGTTACCTCAAGGTCTCTCAGTTATTTTCAGTGTACAGTCATTTATTTGGGAACAAATATTTGAGTAAATTCATGATTCTCTCTTCTTTTCTTCCCCTCTCCTTTTCAAGAAGGAAGGATTATTCTGAGAACATTTAGTAAAAGCCTCCTGTGATACCCCTCATAATTACATCACCACATAAAATTGGCCACTTTTTGGACTACCTCCTGCCTCCTATAGGCATGCCTCCATTCCTCAGGGTGAGTGGAAGGTGGGTTCATACATGGATCCCTACTCTGACTTTTGAGTAGGTCCCTGACAAGCCGTTCATGCTTACTTCTCAGTTTTCAAGGCTAGCTTGAGAATTTTGAGATACACCCTCTGCCCTTTTTCCCACTCAAGCCTGAATATTGCACACCAAATGAGCTCTGGCTTTCAGATCATTATTTCTGCTGTGTGGATCAACAATCTCTTCAGCATTCAGTGGACCTCTTTGTCCCAGGCTGGGTATACTTAGCAATTCAGTCTGTCCATTGAGAAAGCTCTTAGGGCTGCCAAACATTTGAAGAAAGTGGGCCAAGGGTCTTGAAGAACTCCCTGGTTTAATACCAGACATCACCTCACAACCTCTGTGACACAGCCTTGTTTGCCCGGGAGAAGAAACAATGGCTGAAGGTTCCCAGGGACCAGGCAACTGGACAGCCTCTCAGGATCCAGGCACTGCACAAATGGGCTACATGCCATGGCCCTACAGACTCTCTGGTGGTTTCTCTGCTCTTCTTTGTTCCCTTTCTTCCTCCTCACTGTGATATCTGACCCCTTGAGCTTTTGTTTTTCACTCAGTCTTCATAGTCATCCATCTGACTTCCTTCAAACCTTTGAGCTTCCACCTGTCACCCTCGCTGCTGAGCATCCTATACTCCCCAGTCCTAAGAGGAAGGGTCTGATTCATACCAGTCCTTGTGGCAATCACAGGCCACACTTGAATCACTTACCTTGTCCACCCTCTCAGCCTGACAGGGAAAGATGTCTTTAAGCATGAAACAAGCCTAACTGGTCAGAGGGACTAAGGAGTGTGGCAAGGCTAGCATCCTGGCACTCAGATTGCCCATGCTGAAGCCAGAGGCAGGGAGCATGGGGCTAGACTGGGCACTGAGGCAGTCTTACTCCTAGGGAGAGGAGACCAGAGGAATTCACCTCTGGTTCTCTGGCCATGCTTTACAATCATGCGTAGGACACATGAATCCTTTCCTGCTGGCCCCCACCCTCCATACCCAGGAGTCCTCACCGTTGCACTCAGGAGCCTTCTCACCCCCCAACCTCCTGCATACTTTGTCAACATTGTCTTGGAAACTGTTCCATCTGCCCTTGCCTGATGAGGCTGACATCCCACCCTAGTTCTTGAGGGCAAGACAGCTCTCCATGGGACAGTGGCCCCCAGTGCCAGAGCTGGCGCGGCAGTGCTCAGAAAGGGCTTATCAGATGGGTGGGTGCTGGCACGCTAATGGGCAGCAGCCATAGCACTCCTTTGACATGTCTCTGGAAATGTGGGTGGGGCTGGCAGAGGGCATGAAGAAGAAGCCTGCCACATGTCTTCTCACATATGCTATACATGTGCCCTGCATGTCTTGTTTCTTTTTCAGTATCAGCGACCCGTTCATTTTCAACATGTGCAGCAAAGACAGGTCCGCTGACCATTACTCGTGTGAGCGCTATGGCTATGGAGACATGCGGGAGCTCCAGCAGGCCCGCTTCCTCCTGCAGGTATGCCAGCTGGGCATTGACAAGCTGGTGGGGAGGAGGGAAGTAGGGAGATGAGAGGGAAGGTCACTTCTTCATGGAACACAGATGTGCCCCTCTTTGTGTCTGAGTCCAGTGCCCTTAGGGAGACCCCCATGAGTTCCCTGGGTTTTTTTGTTGGTCCTGGGCCCAGCTAGTCCCAGATGGTCCTAGCTAGAGGTTCTGACTTCTGCTGTATTCTCTCTCTAGTCCATGCCTTTGGCTGCTGGCCTTTCTGTCTTTCAGTGTCAATTAGGATACAGTCTCTTTGCTTTTTTTTTTTTTTTTTTTTGCTCTTGTACTCCAGAGCTACCTTGGAGACTTAGGAATATGGGGTTAGTGGAAACTGCATTCCTTTATGACTGAATGCCCTCTGCCCTGCTCTGAACCATGGCACTGGACCCTCTCCACTCACCTGTTCTTTTCATTCTCCTCCCTCCCTGCAGTGTTTACCTATCTCAAGCTTCTGCTCGTTTCTTCCCAAGTGGGTATAGGGATCTTCTGACTGAGTCCTCCAACCAGAGTCTCCTGGAGCCTCACCTGCTGCCTTCAAGGGCTTAGCCAGGCACTCAACAGAGACGGTGGCTCCCTTCAGAGGAAGAGCTCAGTCACAAGCTGGTCATAAACGCCTGCTTCTCATCCCATCTCACATATAGGTCATGCCTTCTAGAAACATCATCAGAGTGGCAAAGGGGGTAGGGCAAACTCCAAAGAACCTCCCCCCCTGCCCCGTAACCTCAAACACATCTTGCATCCATCAGTCTAAGCTCAGCAATAGCAAAGCTGTATCCCCATCCCCAGGGCTTAGAAGGCAGCTGGCAGAGGGGAGGAGCTGGGAGACCACGCAGGAGGAGGAGCAGGATGCCTCCCCCACCTTTTCTACAGGGTCTTTGTTAGTTCCAAAAACCAGCAAGTGGGCAGTGCTTGGCCCTGATGAACTCATTAAGAGTGCACTTCATTTGTAAATTTATTTTCTGTAAGTGGATCTTTGATTCACCATGTGACCCTCCTGCAGGAGGCCTCATTACTATTTTCTGAAACTGAAGCTCAGAGAGGCCTTTTAGGGGAGCAAATTACTGAAAAGACCAGCTGTACTGCTGACAAGGGTCCAGCCATTTGCTCTGGTCTAGACCTCTGATGAGCCCTCTTCCTCCCTTGCCACTGCTTTTGCCCTTATTTTGCCTGACATTTGTGACCTCCTTTGCAAAGAGGATAACCTGGAAGGAGATATTGGAAAAAAACAGCTCCACCCTGGTTAGTATGGAAAGGCCTGGACTTTGTCCTGATCTCAGCTTTGCCACTTTGGCTCATTTGGGCACCTCTCCAGCTTGTCCTTGTTCTCCAGTGAACAGGAGGCCATGTCTTATCTTTCCCACCATGGCACATACATTACTAGCATGTTTAGCGGCACATACTAAGTACTTGAAATTATTTTTTTAGCCGGGCTCGGTGGCTTAGCCTGTAATCTGCGCTTTGGGAGGCTGAGGTGAGTGAATTGCCTGAGCCCACGGCTGGGCAACCCGCCTGGGCAACTTGGCGAGACCTCATCTCTACAATAAATCAGAAATTAGACGGGTATAGTAGCGTGTGCCTGTAGTTCCAGCTACTTGGAAGGCTGAGGCAGAAGGATCGCCGGAGCCCAGCAGGTCGAGGCTGCGGTGGCCAGGAGCGACCACTGCACTCCAGTCTGGGCGACGGAGTGAGACTCCAACTCAAAAAAAAAGAGAAAGAAATTATTTTTTTATAATATCATGTATACCTTAAAGTTTATATATAATAGTAAATGGGTATCAATAGTGACTTTATTTTACCCCAGTAAACATTTTGATTGTTTCCAGGCAATTGGCTCACTTAAAGTGATGAAGCCAGAGCAGGAGTATCTGTGTGCACAGCCAAGGATGGTAGGAGTGGTGTTAGGGAGCTTTGCAGGCAAGCTCCATTTGTCTAGCCCTGAATTCTTCCTGAAGAAAGTCAAAGTCTGGCACTCGAGGTAGCCAGGGCAAGCTGGACCCTCAACAAATTCTGCTTTCGCTTTCTTTTTTGCATATTATTTATATTTCTGTTTATAGAAAATATTTAAGACACTTATTTCCACTAGCAGAGGAGAGGGGATTTGAAATACCATTGCAAATACCTCCCCCCTGCCCAGGAGGCTTGATGAACTAGACTTTGAGAACTCACTTCTATACAGTTAGATGCACGTTGGGACTCTGCTGTTGGGTACAGTACCCATCCCTAAGTCTGATCCTTACCCTACCTCTATCATCCCTTCACGTCCAGGTCTCACCTTCCCTGATTGTCCCTACAGCCCTGGGAATTCTCTGGGGATTTCATCTCATCTCTGAGATTTCTCTTGCATGTAGATTCACTCTATCCTTTATTCCAAGTCTGTTATTTACATAGCTTAGAATAGAAGAAAGGGAGAGAGGGAAAGAGGAAGAAATGGAGGAAAAAGAAAAAGGAAAAAAAACAATGTGGTTTTATTTCAACATTAACAAATATCTCTAACAATAACATTGCTATGTCATTGTGGCCACATCAAAATGGCTCAGCAAAACAAACTGGGCAAAGCACCGGTCCCTCTTAAATCTGTAAATGAGCACAGAATGCTATCTAGTGTCACCCATCTATCTAGCTTCCCTAGTGTTTCTGGTAAGGCAACCCCTGGCTCAGGAAACCAAATCCATAACCCGGAAGTCAAGGTGTCTGAGGATGTCACTGAGCGCTTTCTCCCTCATCTGCTTCTCATTTGTCCTGGAAGTCTTTTGTTTCCTTTTTTTTTTTGAGTTGGAATCTCACTCTGTCACCCAGACTGGAGTGCAATGGCTGCTCTCGGCCACTGCAGCCTCTACCAGAGGGGCTCCAGCGATCCTTCCGCCTCAGCCTTCCAAGTAGCTGGAACTACAGGTGTGCGCTACCATGCCCGGCTAATTTTTTTATTTATTGTAGAGATGAGGTCTTGCCAAGTTGCCCAGGCGGGTCTCGAACCCGCGGGCTCAGGCAATCCACTCACCTCGGCCTCCCAAAGCATGGGATTACAGGCTGAGCCACCGAACCCGGCTTGCTTCCTTTTTCAACCAAAGGAATTTGGAGCTATGGTCAGGCCCCCATCCTCCCATTCATGCTGCAGAAACTCTGTCATCTCTGTCAGCAAGGTCTTTATACCTGAGGAAGTTGGGGAAGACTAACCAAGAAGGGTTGCCTGACACAGGAACCCAAATGACCTATTGCCAGCAACTCTGTCACCTAGGGGTATCTTCATTTCAGGAACTTGGAGAGCAATAAAAGCAGAATGGTTTCTCTTTATAGGACATTGCCCTGGAGCTCTTTTTCCGAAATGGATATTCCAAGTTTCTTGTTTTCTACAACAGTGATCGGAGTAAGGTCTTTAAAAGGTAAGGCCTGAAAATTCTCCTTTTGAGGAAACTGACCTTGACTGAGGACTGAGAAGCAAAGAGTGCTCAACTCTGTCCTTAGGAAAAGTGTTCTCAATTCACAGGATTTAGACTAGGCACAAGGAAGAACTTCCCGACCCAAAGGAACAAGTCATGGAACAAGTACAGATAAAAGATAGAGAAGGTCTTTCCTTCAATCCTGGGAAGCAGACTCCATTTTCATGACTGAGGTGATTTAGAACAGTAATGACTGATGGGAGAAAAAAATCATGCAGATAAACATATTTAAGAAACTGGTTTTAATGGGTCTTCTAGACTTTTCTGACTTTATTTTCTAATTTTCCAAGTAATTTTTTTACTTAATATTTCTTTTTGATCCCAGTTGCCAATTTTAGTTGCTCCCAATTTTGTATTTCACTGGAAAAAATTCCAAACAACTAATTTCCCACATGTGCATTGAACATCTTTTTTTCTTAAAGAGCAAAGCCTGCTGTTTTAGTTAGCTTTTCTTTCTCCAAATAGATTAATTGATCTAAAAATGCTAAGCCAATGTGTAAGTTCTCAATACCATGGCTATTTATTTGTTTTATTATTAGATAGATAGGTTGATTTGTAGAGAAACTCGAAAGGACAGAAAGAAGGTAAGTTCCTCATCATGAATAGATCTCATAGGGATTAACAGGGAGTAGTTATGTTCTGCCCCACTTTGGACTGGAAGTTCTGAGGGGAGATTTGGCCTCCTGGCCTGGGAGCCCCATTTTGGTGTTCAAAGCGTCCAGCCCTGTCTTCCTGGTTGTCCTTGCCAGTAACTGACACCAGGACCAGCTGCTGAGTCCAAGGGGCAGGCCAAAGTGGAGAAAAACAACTCCCACAAAGGGACTTTTTGTGCCATCTGTGGGCATACCTCCTTGGACTAAAGTGAGCCTTCCCACAAGGTTCTTCCAAGGGCTGCTGTTAGATTGCATCCTAAAATTATCTTCAAGGTCTATCTTGGACCAAACCGAATAAGCAGACATTCAATGCCAACTTGATTCATTTTCCCCTGGGGTTTCTGTGTATCACACAAAGTTTTTCACAGTTTATCTAGAAATCTTACATATCTGTAGCTCAGGTCGTGAATGTAGCCTAATGACAATTCCACAGGTACCCCCATCCTGACATTAAGATGATATTTTTCCCCGGAGTGATATACAGCAGTGGTTATTGAAATTGGCATTGTTATCATGCACCTGGCCCAGAGGAGGCACCTTACACACACTGTCTTAGTAACTATTGCTTTATTGTTATCATTGTTATCATTAAGGCTAGAGTATATAACACCAGAGGGTGCGGAGGGGTACCTCAGAGGCACACCCAGGCTTACTATTCATGATCTAGGGGCAGGATGAAGTGCAGAGGGGCAAGAATAAATCCACCTTCTTGCCTGGTTCCAGAAATATCTCTGCTGGAGGTGGAAGGGTCTTGACTCTGCTGACAGAATTATCCCTTCTCTTTTTGTCTAGCTTCTGCTCTTTCCAACCTAGCCTGAAGGGGAAAGTTGTCCCAGAGGATCCCCTCAATCTAAGGTAATGGCAAGGTAGCTGTGCTTTCTGGGCATGGTGCTAGCCAGGCTTTGATATTCTTTATTTGCTTTGTTCTCCTCTAAAAGATTCATGCAAAGAGCACGCTAGTCTCTTCCTCCATTTTTCTCGCTCCCATCCCCATACACCCTTCATCCTATTCCTGAAATTCCTTCCACACCAATTAAACCTCTGTGAACAGACTTGAAGTCCCACATGCTCTGTGGTTTTTTCAGACCCAAATGACAGGAAATGACTCTGTCTGTGGTGACTGGGCAGGTGTCCCCGAAGGTGTTAAGCCAGGCACAGCCTTGGGGGACATACCCTCAGGTGTGGATGTGTGAGCAATCCCAAGTCTTTGCCTCTTGTAATGAGCATTTCTGAATGCTTAGAAACTAAAATAATAAATGATGTGTGCAGAACAGATGTTAATTCACAAATCTTTGGGGCATCTTTCCCAGTGAGTGAAATGTTTACACCTCCTAGACAAGAAGACCAATTCAAGATCAGTAGGGGGTTTTCTTTCAGTTAGCAATAAGAATAGGAAGAAGGTAATTGCTGGTTTTCTCCAGAAGTGCGTGAGGACAGGGCAGGATGGGTGTCCCCATGAATGACATTCAAAATATGTATAATGAGTATAGAATGGGTCCCACCAATTAATTCAAATAATTTATTGATAGCTTGTGATGTGTGATGTTTGCTGCTTGACAGAGCAACAAGCAAAAATCTCTGACCTTATTGAGTTTATACTCTCAAGAGGAGGACAGGCATAAACCAGTGAAAATGAGTGAACTACATAAAGCACATTAGATCATGATAAGTGTACGTTTTAAAAGACCAAGCAGATAGAAATGGGCATTGAAATAATAGACAGGATGGCAAGGAAAGCCCTTATCAAGGAAACAATATTTGAATTAAGACTTGGGCAAAGTGGAGAAACAAGTTATGAAACTAACTTGAGAAAAGAGTACTTCAAGCTGAGGGAAGAGTAGGGCATAGCCAAGGCTTGTGGGGTTAGAGTGCAGGGACTTAGTGGGAGCAGAGGTAAGAGAGGTCATAGGGGCTAGTTGGTGCAAGCTGTGGGGGTTCATGGTTATAGTGTTCGCTTGTACTCTGAATAAATGGAAAGCATGGGAGAGTTTTGAGTAGAGGAATGATGTGATCTGACTTAGTTTGGAAAGCATTACACTGGCTGCTGTGCCAAGAATAAACCATAATGGAGCAAAGGCAAAAGGTGGAGATCAGTCAGGAGGCTATCGCGTTAATCCAGATGAGAGAGTTTAGTGACTTGGATCAGGGAGATGACAGCAAAGATGGTGTGACATGGTCAGATTATGGACATGTTTTGTGGGTACCTGTGATGGGAGCTGATGACAAATCAATTGTGGGGTATGTATGTGAAAGAGAGGACTTAAAAATAAGACTGAGGATTTTAGGCATGAACAGTTGAAGAATAAAACGGGGATGACCAAAGGAAGGCTGCTATGGATATCAGGGGCTAAGGTTTGGACATGTGACTTTTTTTTCATAATCAATATTTTTTATTATGGTTTTGTGGGGTACAGTTGAGGGTTAGGTGTACAATTATGTTTCACTCAGGCACCCTGTTGATAAGAGGTATTTCCCCATCCCCAGACAGATATTTGCTACTGTTAATCCCATCTCCCTCCCCCGCCACATGTGACTTTTGAGATGCTTGCCACATGTCCAGGTGGCATTGTGAAGGCTATTGGCTATATGAACTTTGGGTTCAAGAAAAAGGTCCAGGTGAGATATAAATTTGGAATCATGTCTAAAGCCATGGCAACGAACAAGATCATCAAAATAAGGCACACACAGGGAAAAGAGGTCTGAGGACTATGCTCTGGATACGCCAATCTTTACAGTGTAAGGACATGGGCAGAGCTAGCTAAAAAGATGGGGAAGTAGTAGTCAGAAAAGTAATAGAAACTTCAGGTGTGAAGGATGTCCTGGAAACCAGGTGGGAGTGGTCAAATGTTGTCGAAAGACCAAGTAGGATAAGAAATGGGACATGATTACTGAACATGAAAGTCATTGATGACCTTCAATAGACCCATCACAGACTCTTAGTTGATAGACTGCAGGAAAGTTCAAGGCATGACAGGGTGTGTTCCAGGAGGCCTGGATAGCATGATTCACTAGAGCTGGGGTGACTTTTTATCAATTGTAATGAACATAGTTCAATAGTTCAACCATAGTACAGACCCAGTTGCACGTATCAGTTGATATCAACACTGGGGATCTCATTGTTCATGTTTCAATATATAAGTCTTAACTATTCACATTTGGATTTCTCAGCACCTTTTCAGTGTAAATGGTAGATAGTTATTTGAAACAAACTGAAGTAAAAAAAAAAAAGGAGGATTCATCACTTCACCTACCTGAAAGCCAAAAATGTTCTGGCTCCATGTATGACTGGATCTCTTCTCTGCAGAAAGTTATGGCTCTCCATCTGTTGGTGAAGATTTCCCTTGAACTGGCTTCATTCTTATAGGTTTTCTTAGCACAGTGGCATTGTTGCTCCCAACAGTTCCAGATTGACTTAGTCATGTGGGAATTCCACCACACATCTCACAAGCTCTATCCCAGTAATTTTAGCAAAAATACCCAAACCGACTGTTATCTTCCCAAGTTAGGTTACATGCCCTTCCCAGAACCAATCAAATGTTCCCATTGGCCATATCAGGGTGATGTTCCCTCCCAGTTGCTGGGGTGAGGTAGGTTCCATCCAGTTTCATAGACTAAATGGAGAAGAATGTGGTTCCTTAAAAGAATTGAGGTTCTGAATTCTGAGGCTTCTATAAAAGCAGATGAACATCCACTGCTCCATGCAGGGAGAACTCCCAGGAGCCGCAGCACTTGTGGGCTGCACAGCATTCTCTCTCCCTGGAACAATGTTGTATCAGTTGTGACACAAATCACTTTGCTCCCATTTGCCTTTACAGCTCACCTTCTTATAAATGTTTTGTGATGTCACGGTGGTCACATCTATCCCTATGACTGTGAGCAGCACTCTGCCCATTCCTAGCCTATTGTTCTCAGAATCTTGGGGTGCTTTGCCTCAACAGCACATACCTTCCTCTACACTGGTGAGTTTCTATGTTTCTACTCCAAATGGGGGGTGGGCAGAGAGAAAAGGGACAAAGGGAAGAACATAGAAGAGGAGATAAACCCTGGCTGTGGCCAATAAGTTGGGAGTCCCTATAGAAATGATTACCAGGTGGTGGAAAGAAAATTCTCTGTAGATGAGTCAGATGTCTGGAAATTACTCCTCACTCAAATAAACTTATAGATAAACTTATAGGTTGGTGATGACCCTTGATACCAGCCTGTGTGCCTCCTTGTTTGCATGGAACAGCTGAGCCCTTTGCTGATTTTATTTCCATTGTGATTATTTTTGCCTTCATGGCCACCTGAGTCCACTGGAACAGAGTGTTCCAGGTTCATTCCATGCATGCCTGGCACAGTCCCAGCACAGCTCCAGGTATGGAAACCCATGGGCAAGTTTCTGGATCAACTGGGAACAGGGCATGTTGCTCCAGAGAAGTGTGTATTTCAGCTCATGTAATGAAAAACTCAACAATGTGAGGATGCCCCAGTAGAGGATGGCCCTAGGCTCTGAGGGCACCCAAGCAGCAAGGGTATATGGTGAGATCATGCTAAGTAAACATTCAGCCATGGACTTTGGGATCAAGCTGACTTGGGCCTAGAACATTGTAATCCCTCTGCTTAGTTTAGAATCATCTGTTGTCTATTTGGGCATGTTAATAAAATAGCTGATTAAAAACAGGTTGCTGTCCTTGTTCTCGGCTTTTTTTTGTTTGTTTGTTTCCCCTTTCCAACTTTCCTTACCTGCCGGAGTATGGCTTCAGAAGCTCCAGGGTTGGAAGGCAGTGCTGGTCCTCAGCCTTGGCTTCTATTGCCACATGCCTGGGAAGAACCTGAGGACTTTCCATTTGGATTACCACAGGCAATGCCCCGTGTATAGAACGAGTCTTGGAAAATGCCTAGCTGCTTGATAGTCACTTGAACAATGAACATGAACTTTTCATCTCTAAAGGAGGTGTGTGCAGTTCTGAGGGTTTTCAACTAGCCTGTGATGCTTGGCCTAGGTTACAGATTTTTTTAATTCTCACTTCCAGGTCTTGATGACTTATTTGGCCCATTTGTATGCCATCTTTCATAAATAGAAAACCAGAGCTTTCAGTATTAGGGTTTTGCTGAGGCTTTCGGGGACAATGACTGCCTCCGTAACTATATGCTAAGGAGGCTCTCTTGGTCTAGATCCCAAGTGGAAAATACTTGCTAAGTCTGGATAAGTCTGGGACCCATAATCCATCTGTATATCCTCTGGTACAAGACTAGACCATCTGAAGACAGCATGGCAGCATGTTCAGACTTCTGTGGGATGCCAGGTTCTGCAAGCCTACAGGGTCTGCTAAAACCCTGTGAAGCCTGCTAGAGCCCTTGGACAAACCCCACTTCATGGTAGGCTCTGTTGAGACATGAGGGGCACCAGGCAGAAAGGGAGAGACAATGGTTGAAGCTGCAGAGATGGGGGCAGGCAGTTGCGAATATGCATGTGGATTAAACACACATCCTCAAACTTAAATATGCTTGTGTCCATCTACAAAGGGCTGGAAACAGCTTCAAAATTAAATACAGGGTATATCATTCCTTTAACAATGCCCAATACTCCTTTAAAGGGGGGAAAAATAGACATGATCACCTGGAGTGATTTAGTTACTCTATTTGTCCTGAAACTAAGCACAACTAAACAACACAATTATGCTGGATTATATTGTTTTCCAGTGACAGATAACAAGAAACAGATTTTTTGTAATTTTTTTTCCTGGAGCATATATTTTCTTGGTGCTGAATATCAAATTTGGTCTTCCTTTAAAGGGTAGTATTATTGGTACCAAAGATGACAATTTCATTTTTGTAAAACAAAGAGTGCTACAGAATACAATTGTCTATATCAG